CTCCCCTCCTTGCTATAAAATGTCCACCTTTACACTTCCAACCCTCACAATCAGTCCTGATAACAATTATTCACTACTGAATCACAAGAGACCCATCTGCATTTCATTTCATCAGTCCTGTCTAGACAGATTGGATACTACTCACTGGGAATTCTACCTTCCTCCAGGCCCTCTGGATCTAGGTTCCCTCCTGAAAGCTTGTAAGCCAGTCACTTCTTGCCTTTGTGTTCCCCACCCCACCCCCTTTTTGGGTAGCCAATGTCCAAGTTGCCCCTCCCTGTCTACTCTGTGTGAGGAGAGGGTGGGAATGGGATTTGCAGTAGGGATTTGTTTCCTCTTTTGAGCTACTGCATCCATAGGTGTAGTTCAAGTTCATCAAATTGTATCAGATTATGCTTTTTTTCCTCTTCTTTCTTCTTCGGGTTGAGCTCTGATCATCCAGTCCTTGAAGCCAGGTCAAGTGGGTATTATCTGCAAGTGTGAGTGTTCTTGAGACTATCCGCTCTCTTCTTATCAGCTGGATGCTTCACTCTCCACTCCAACCCTCTGTGGCTGTGTCACTGACTCTGGGCCCAAGAGTCCCCAGGTCTTGCCACACTGCTGGCCGCCCAGGTCTCCACCTGGGTTCACAGGAGTCTATTGAACGTTGTAGGGCTTAGCTTGCTACTTCATTGCTGTTTTTCTCTCACTTCCCCTTATGGGTGATGAGCGTGGTCACCAATCACAGCGTGTATTCCCATTGAGTCTTAGTCTTGGAAGAGGATTTGCACTGAGGGACCATACCACTTGCCTTGATGTCTCCTGGGCAAGCAACTTGCTTGTTCTTGTAGTAACAATTGGTCTGCCTCTATTGTTTTGTATTCTTCTTGTAGTTCTTTCTTTCAAGAAGTATCTTCTGTTTTTCTAGCTGCTCCAGGTTGGTCTGCTCGTCCTTTCAAGTGGAAATTTCCCATCTCTGTAGATCTGGATGTGGTTCAGGCTTCCACCTATAGTCTTATGTAATGTAGAGGCTCTTCAGGAAGCCTCCTTCACTGGGCATGCTGTAGCCACATTTTAGGTATTCCAATCAGTTATAGGCAGAAGACAGACTTACAAGCTTTCTATGGTGATATTTCTGGCTATTCCTTTCTCTCCTCCTCCAGTGTCTATTTTATATTATAATGCACGGAAAACCTAGATTCAAAAGACAGCCAAGCATCTTAACATTATTTTCCCCTTTCCCCCATTCCAACCATGTCTCAATCTCTGTATCCCAGAGTCCTGTTATTCCAAGGTTGTGCATACATCATTATTTACCTGTATCCCATTTAGCACATTCAAACCTGACTAATTGTTCTCCCATCTGTTTTGTTCTTCCATTCCCATCTCTCTTCTTGTATATTGCTCCTCATCCCCAGCACCCAAACTATCCTGTGTCTATTCCCTGCCCTGTGCTCTACCTTCCCCTCCCTCTGCTAACCCTGCCCCTATATCCCATCAACCAGCAAAGAATCCACTTTAGTGGAATGGTATGGGTTCTTTTTCTTAGTCTTTTACAGTAGTGGTCCTATGCAGTATTTCTCCTTTTGTGACTGACTAATTTCACTCAACATAATGTCCTTAAGGTTCATCCACGTTAGGTAGTGGCATGCAGCATCCTTGTTATTTTTCAAGCTAGCATAATATTCCATTGTGTGTATTTACCACAGTTTCTTTATCCATTCTTCAGTTGATGGGCACTTTGGGTGTCTCCATCTTTTTGCTATTGTAAATAGTGCAGCTATGAACATTGGTGTGCATATATCTTCCTGTGTTGTGGCTCGTATTTCTTGTGGGTAAATACCAAGTAGAGGAATTGCTGGATCGTATGGTATTTCTATTTTCAACCTTCTGAGGAAGCACCATATTGCTTTACAGAAAGGTTGGACCATTTTGCAGTCCCACCAGCAGTGCAGGAGTGTCCCAGCTCTTCACATCCATGTCAGCATTTATTGTCCTCAACTTTTTTGATTTTTGCTGTTATTGCTGGAGTGAGATGATATCTCATTGTTGTTTTGATTTGCATCTCTCTATGGCTAGTGACAACAACTACTCTTGATAGGCTGTATTAGCTCTAGGTAAATTACATAATCTCTTTATACTTTAGTTTCTCATCTGCCAAATACATTCTTGTCAGACACAATGTTAAATATTATAATGATTTGGGCACTGCAAAGCTTAAGCCTATTCACAATATAGACAGCTACACAGTATATTTGAGGGAGCTCTGGTAGCATAGTGGTTATGAGTTGGGCTGCTAAACTCAAGGTCAGCAGTTCAAAACTACCATCCATTCCATGGGAGAAAGATGAGGCTTTCTGCTCCTGTAAAGATTTACAGCTTTGGAAGCCCTATGCAGGGTCACTATGAGTCAGAACCAACTCCACAGCACATAACAACCACCACAGTATATTTGTGAATTAAAAATGCCATAGGAGGTATTAGATAAAGAGGTATAAAAGATTTCTGCAGAAGATATGACAATGATAATGAGAAAAAGATTAAGAAACTCTGCTATAGACCATATATAATTATGGTCAAGTAAAAATGAAGTGATTCATTCAAACTTCTCAGCACATGGTCAGCATTAATTATATGATAACAATTATTACTATTATTATTACTAACTATATTGAGTATTGTACTAGTGTGAAGAAACAAAGATGAATAACTCATAGTTTGACTTGGAGAAATTTATAGCCAAGAAAATTATGTTAAAAATCAATGTTTTCCCTAAGAAATTCAGGGTTAATGGAATGATGAGCATAAATCAATGGTTTGAGGGGAAGAGGGAAGAAATAAGTGTTTCTTTTGTGTTTGTGTGGGGGGTGAGATTGGAGTTGGGGGAGGGACTTGACAATGATGAGAATAAAATTTTAAGGAAATGGAGATGAGGAAATTTGGAACACAGTCTGTTCTGCTACGATGTGTGGTTCTATAATGAATATAAGCTCATATGAGATCGAAAAGAGGTGACAATGTCAGTACACTGCAGACATCATTTTTGTTCTTTTAGTCTGTAACTCAGAAGGTGATCCTTGACCAGCAGCATCAAAGTCACCTTGCAGCGTGTTAGAAATTCAGAATCTTGGATCCTGACACAACCCCTCTCTCCCTCTACCTCCCTGGACCGACTGAATCAAAATCTGTATATTAACAAGATAGGCAAATTATTCTTAAACACATTACAGTTTAGAAACACTATATTAAGGTTTCCTAGGCCAAAACATCGGTGGTTCAAATCCACCAGTCACTCCTATGCAAGACTGTTATGAGTCAGACCTGACTAGATGGCACTTAACCACAACAGGCAACGGAAGTGCGGCACAGTAAGATAAGCACTGGTCTGCTAATCACAAGGATGGCACACAACAACAGGCAAAGGAAGCCAGATTAGTGAGTAGAATTATAACCTTTACTTGTTGCTGTTGTTAAGTACTGTTGAGTCAGTTTCAACTCATAGTGATCCTGTATAGGGTTTCTGAAGAGTGGCTGGTAGATTTGAACTGTTGATCTGTGGTTCAAACTGACCTTGCAGTCCAGTGCTTATCCTGCAGCACCTTTAGTAGGAGAGAAAAAGCCTTCATATCAGCTACTACAGTAGGATTTCATGAATTTTAAGAAAATCTAAACATTGCCTATATCTTTGACTCATTTCTTAGAGATGTCCACTCACAGATTTAACTTGGTTCTCAGCTCATGCCTACTTTAAAAGCATTAGTTCTGGTTTAGAACTCTATTTAAATCTGTGTTTTCTCAGTGCACATTGTTATTATTGATAGGTACCATCAAGTGGGTTTCACCTAATAGCAACCCTCTGTAGGGTTCAAGGCTATAAATCTTTACAGGAGTAGAAAGCCTCATCTTTCTTCCAAGGAGTCACTGTTGGGTTTGAATTACTGACCTTGTAGTTAGCAGTCCATTGCCTATCCTACAGTGCCACTAGCAGGCCCCAGTGCCCATTGATGTTGTTGTGAAGTACTGTTGAGTCCATTCCAGTTCATAGCGACCAGGTATAGGGTTTTCAAGAAGTGGCTTGTAGGTTTGAAGCACTGATCTGGTGGTTAGCAGTCCAGTGCTTATCCTACAGCATCACACCAATACACACTAGTGGTGGGAGATGTGTGCCACCAAGTTGGTTGCAACACATTGTGACCTTGTATAGGGTTTTGGAGGCTGTAAATCATTACGGGATCAGAAAGCCTCATCTTTCTCCTGAGGAATGACTGGTAGATTTAAACTACTGCACTTAGGGTTAGCAGTCTAACTCATAATCCACTACGCTACCAGGGCTCCTTGCAATACTTGTTGCTGTTGTTGTTAAGTGCTGTCAACTCAGTTTAACTCATAGTAAGCCTGTATAGAGTTTCCAGGTAAGCTACCAACTTTATGATTCAAAATGACCTTGTAGTGCAGTGCTTATCCTATAGTGCCACAACAGGACTCCACAATACACATTAGCTATGTTAGTTGTGTTCTAATTTTGAATAACATTTCCATTCTTCATCTGTCTCCATGTTTGTAGGAGTATTTTTATTGTGTACTTGGCAGCCTCCAGCCATACTAAGCTGGTATTTGGGTGGTCCAGATGATCTTTATATGTGCTTATTATGGTTGTTTTACCATTGTTGTTATTATTATTTAGGACTCCTAGTGTGGCACTGTAGAAGTAGCACTGGACTGCAAACCACAAGGTCAGTAGTTCAAACCCACCAACTGCTCCTTGCCCTGTACAGGGTTGCTATGAGTTGGAACTGACTTAATGGCACTTAACCACCACAACAATTACTATTATTTAAAAATTGCAAAGGTCTGGAGGGTTCTTTTATAATCTTATTTTCCCAAAAGCCTTATATTTTTGAGTCATGTTTTTGCAGAGTGTGAAATTTTTCATGAACATATATATCACATTATGGTAGAAATACTTATAATAAGAAGGGGGAGGAATGGGATGAAACGTTTGGAAAAAGATCAAGAATTCAGATGGAGAAATTGGCATTAAAAATGGAAGGCAGCCCTTCTTTTCACTTATATGAGGAGGCTATTTTATCTTATAGTTCTGGGCTAAGACTTCCAAAACAATATTAAATAGCTCATAGGATCCAAGAGTAAATAGATAAAGGCTTACAAAACAGACTAAATGCTTTAGAGAAAGGAAGATCGCTCAAGGGAAATAAGATTCAATATATCC